TTTACACAATTGATGTGTGTATGGATTGCGATAACAGTTGTATGAGCCCCTAATAAAATGTTTTATAAAAAAAAAAAAAAGAGGGTCTGTGTGTTAGGCTGGGTTGTGCAGTGATGCTCAGAGCTGTAAACCAAGTCGTAGTCTTATATCAAGAAGGCATTGCAGCCCAGTCCATGGTTCCCATGCTAGCCAGAGCCCTCTCCAGACTCAGGTAGCTGCAGGCCGGGGATGCAGAAAGGTGGAGCGGGGTGCAGGGAGATCGCAGGCCGGTGGGTACAGAGCTGTGTAGATCCAAGCTCAGTGGAAACTGGCAGGGTCCCCACAGCTCTCAGTGTTGGGTACCCCACACAGGAGACAGGGGAGGCCCAGCAAGCAGGAAGGCAAAGGGGCAGAGAGGAAGACGTTCTCACTGTCTCTTGTAGAAAAGGCCACTCCCTTGATAGGTTGGACTCCACTCCTACACTTTCATACAAATTCAGGCTGACCTAAAATCTAACTACCACAGCCCGTGGGGGTGTTCCAGTCCCAGATGGCCTGTGGGAGAAAAGAACATGTCATATGTATACGTACACACATATGCACACACAAAGGCAGGCATGCGTGTGGGTCCACCGGTGGGCACTGAGTCGACTCTGACCCATGGCGATGCCACGTGTGTCAGAGTAGAACTGGGTTCTATGGGGTTTTCTTTGGCTGGATTTTGGAAAGTGATCACCAGGCCTTTTTTCCAAGGCACCTCCGAGTGGACTTGAGCCTCCAACTGTTCAATTAGCAGCCAAGCTCATTCTTCATTTGCACCACCTGGGGACTGTGTGTGTGTGTAGATCTGTGTCTGTGTGTGTACAGTATGTCTATGTGTGTCTGTGTGTGTAAAGTATGTCTGTGTGTGTCTGTGCGTGTATGTGTCTGTGTGTGTGCAGTGTGTCTTTGTGTATGGTATGTCTGTGGCTGTGTGTCTTTGTGTGTATGTGTGTGTGTACAGTGTGTCAATGTGTGTGTCTCTGTATGTCTATGTGTCTGTGTATGTCTGTGTATGGTGTGTCTGTGTGCATGGTGTGTGTGTGTATATGTGTCCATGTGTGTGTGTCTGTGTATCCATGTGTGTGTATGTTGTGTGTATGTGTATATGTGTGTCTGTATTTGTATGTGTGTCTGTGTGTGTACCATGTGTCTGTGTCTGTGTGTGTACCGTGTGTCTGTGTGTGTGTGTGTGTGTGTAGTGTGTGTGTGTGTGTGTGTGTGTGTGTGTACAGTGTGTGTGTGTGTGTGTGTGTGTGTGTGTGTGTGTGTGTTAAGAGAGGCTGGATGCAGCAGCACAGAGGGAGGCATTCAGGCAGAAGGCTTGTAGGGTGTTAGGAGGATGCCTCCCAGTTGTTTTCTGCCATATAAAAATCTCTGTACCCAGGGGATCCGGAATCAGGTCATGGAGACAAGCGCGTGGGCCCCACAGGCTGAAGGGCACTGGTTTTCCTTCTGCAGTCACTGTCCCGCGGTCCCTTCAAAATCAACAGAATTTGCGTTGGCTTCCAGTTGCCAGCAGAGGTTAAGGAGCAGGGGAGCTGCCTTGTTCCTCTGTCTGTCTGGCCAGGAGTGGGCAGTGTGGAGCAGGCTCCGGGGACCTGTTGGACCTGCCCTCTACCTCTCTCACCTCCAGCTGACCAGCAGGAGGGCAATACGGAGCTGGCTCTTTGGCTCCTCTGAGTCTACCCTCCGCCTGGCCGAGGGCAGTGTGAAGCTGGCTCCATGCCCCTGCTAAGCTCCCCCCTCTCTCCACAGACCGTGCAGATTCTCATCGGCCTCATCCACCTGGGCTTCGGCAGTGTGCTGCTCATGGTCCGCCGAGGCCACGTGGGGATGCTCTTCATCGAAGGTGGTGTCCCCTTCTGGGGAGGAGCCTGTGTGAGTTCAGAGCTGTCAGAGGGGGCCATGCGCAGACTCACTTCTCCCGAGTCCACTCCCCCACCCCTACATTGCTGGGTACACCCATCCCAGTGGGGCCTGAGCCAAATAGACGTGCGACCCATAATGGCCGTGATCTTTCAAAAACAAGCCACCAGTTCTTTCTTCCAACACACTTTTGAGTAGCCTCCAGCCACCAGCCTTTTGGTTGGCCCACCCACCCATCCACTCACTTGCCCACTTCTATCGAGTCGATAGCTACTCATAGTAAGCCTGTAGGGCAGGGTAGAATGGCTCCTGTGGATTTCTGAAACGTAATTGTTTACAGGAGTAGAACACCCTGTCTTTCGCCCGTGGAGCGGCTGGTGGTTTTGAACAGCTGACCTTGTGGTTAGCAGCCCAACGTATAAGCACTACTGCCACCAGGCCCCAGGAAACCTTGCACCTAAACCTAACATTCCCAACCCAAACCCCATTCGTAAGCCTAAACCTGATCCCACCGTGTTCGTGGACTGCCAAAGAGGGTGGGCAGAAGGGGTGAAAGTGCCCACCACCTGAATTCTAAGCCCAAGCCTGGCCTACCGGCCTTGTAGCTCCCCAGGGGGCTGGCCACACAGATGGGCCCCCGTGCTTCATTGGGCCGCCTCTTCCCCATGCAGTTCATCATCTCGGGGTCGCTGTCGGTGGCTGCCGAGAAGAGCCACACCAGCTGCCTGGTAAGTGTGGGCTGTGGTGCCCCCACCTCACCCTCCCAAAACCACCTTCCTGGCTTCTGGGCCAGAGCCAGGCAATGCCAGGCGACCAGACACAAGACCGTCACATGGGGCCGAAGGAACGGAAATGCAGGTTCCCTAGGTCAGCGCAGGGTGCGGAGGGCGGGCCCCCATGCAGTGGCCTCCGTAGAAAGAAGGGCATGCTGGTCCACGTCTTGGTGGCGACTTTGAGCACTGCAGAGTGAAAGCAGAGGCGGCAGCATTGGTGTGGGCACCGGTGCTACAGTGCTACGGAAACCCCCTTTTTCCCTTCAGCCAGACCAACGGCCTGGGAAATGACCCAACCAAAAACCCCAGCTCACTGCCATTGAACCCATTCCATCTCATGAAGGTCCAACAGCACAGAGCAGAACTGCCCCCACGGGGTTTCCCAGGCCGTGTATGTTCATGGAAGCAGGCCACCTCGGAGCGCCACGCTTAGCCTACTGCGCCACTGGGCACCTTCTAGGAAGGGGGTGGGTGGGATATGTGAAGGACAGAGAGCCAGGGCCAGATGCAGAAGGCACCAGCACCCTCTGCAGGCAGCAGGGAGGTGGTGGGAGGCCTTGGGACAGCACAGTGCCAAGCTTTGAGAACATGGCCATGAAGGCCAAGGCCCCTGCCAGGGTAGGGGTGACAGTGTGGTATGTGGTGACACCCAGAAAACAAATATGAGAGGGGCACCGTGTGGAACGTGCTAGAAGGGTGTACGTGCTTCCTTTGTGAGAGTCATCCAGGGGTCCGCGTAGCTCAGATGGCCCTGGAGGCCTGAGGGGTGTCGCTGAGTCCAGACCTGACCTTGGGAGAGGCTGGGGACAACACGGGATGGGGAGAGGCTGGGGACAGATGGATACCGTGCTCAGGGGGCTCTACGGACACATGGGGTTGAGGTGGGAGGGGCTTGGGAACAGGAGGGACCAGGGTGGGATCAGAGCAGACAGGAAGCCAAGCAGGGAGGCACTAGGAGCAGAGGACGAGGCTAGTGGCTCAGGGCTCAGGTGCCCAAAAGACTTCATGCTCAGGTCAGTTTCAGGAGGCCCTCTGGTTTCAGAGCAGCCTAGGCTTCGTACATTGCTCCACCCACACCTACCTGAGACCCCTGGGGCTGGTGACCCCCCATAGTGAGCCTGCCTGCAAGAGGGGGAGTTTTGAAAGCCAAAGGAAGAATGGGCAAGAGCCCAGGACTCTCTCGGAGATAGAGAGACAGCAGGGCCCCCTTGTCCTGAGGCTCAGAGGAGAAAGCAGAGTCCATGTAGCCACTAAGGTTACGCCCGGCTTCTATCACCCTCCGGGGGCCCTGGGCAGGGCTGGTGTGGGAGCAGCCTCCTGTGGCCTGTCCCCTCTGCCCTCCCCCTTGTCTCACCCCCTGCAGGTGAGGAGCAGCCTTGGTACCAACATGCTCAGCGCCATGGCGGCCTTTGCGGGGACAGCCATTCTGCTTATGGATTTTGGGGTCACTAACTGGGTGAGTGGGGAGACCTGAAGAGGGGAGGAAGGGGAGGGAGGCAAGTGTAGCCACACCAGGAGGTCCTGGACTTCCCAGTCCCAATAGACCCTCCCCCCCAAGGTGGGATGATGGGTGGGGAGGGTGCCCAGGACCCCGTAGGAAGCCAGGCTCCAGGGACAGCTCTGGGACCCTGGACATTCCCTCCTCCTCAACCCTTCAGCTGGCCTTGACCCTGACTGTGGTGTTTGGTCCTCAGGACGTGGGCAGGGGCTACCTCGCCGTGCTCACCATCTTCACAATCCTAGAGTTCTTCATCGCAGTCATTGCCACCCACTTTGGGTGCCAAGCCACACGCGCTGAAGCCAACACAGTAAGTACCTCCCCAAACTAGGACATGTGGGGGGGGGGTGGAATGAGTCTCACTGTTTCTGGCTCCTCTCTTCCCTCCTCTGGGAAGCAATTTGCAGGGACCAGGCTGCCATGAGCGCCCCACTCTTATACATCCAATGAACAAGCCACTTCATTGCCTTCAGTGGATTCCCGCCGGGAGCGGCCCTGTAGGGCAGCATAGAAGGACCCCTGTGGGTTTGGGGGAGCAGAAAGCTTCACCTTTCTCACAGGGAGCCCTGGTGGTTTCGAACGGCTGGTTTCCAGTTAGCAGCCCAACATGTAACCCACTGCACCGTAGGACTCTTTCAGGGGATCCCCAGGACATCCATCGAGTCAACGCCAACTCATAGCGACCCTAAAGGACAGGGTAGTGCTACCCCTGAGAGGTCTGGAGACTATACCTCTTTACAAAGAATAGCGCCCTGTCCTCCTCCCACAAAGCCGCCACCAGGGCTATACGGCCCTGTGAGAAAGCAAAACCCTAAGCCCACCTCCTCAAAGTGGATTCTGACTCAAAGGGGCCCTATAGAACTGTTCCCTAGGGTTTCTGAGCCTGTAAATCTTTACAGAAACAGAAAGCCTCATCTTTCTCCTATAGAGCCTCTGGTGGGTTCAAACTGCTGGCCTTGCAATTAGTAGCCCAATATGTCACCAACTAAGCCACAAGAGAAGAGGGAGAAATCTGTTTGTGTGAACCCGATGAACTGCCTCTGGCAGTCAAAAGCAGGCTGGTGTGCTGCTGAGAATTTCCAACAGGGTTGGGAGAGGGGAAGGACTGCAGGTATTTGAGCCCAAGAGGGGGCTTTGGGGATATCAACCAGGAGGACTTGGTGCAGAGGAAGTGGGGGGGATGCTGGAGGCAGGGAGGCCAAAGAGGAGGCCAGAGCCGTGGTCCTGGAGGAAATAAAGAGGCCCTACTATGCCTTCCAGGGTTAGAGCCTAGGTGGGTGGTGGTTAAGCTCTGAGCTAACTACAATGTCAGCAGTTTGAAACCATCAGACACTGCTCCTTGGGAGAAAAATGAGGCTTTCAGCTCTTGTAAAGAGTTGCAGTCTAGGACACCCACGGGGGCAGTTCTACCCTGTCCCATAGGGTCCCTAGGAATTGGAGTCGATGTGATGGCAGTGAAGCCGTTTTTTTAAGGTAAAGCCTCCTGGAGCAAGCCAGAGAGACAGAGGGAGAACAGTGCTCCTGGAGAGATGACACAGCTCTGTTCTCTATGCCAGCAGCGCTGGGGCATCAAAGCAAAACAAATAAACAAACAGACAGACCCACTGTCGATGAGTCAGGGCAGAACTGCCCTTGTGAGTTCCCAAGACTGTAAGCTTTCAGGGAGTAGAAAGCCCCATCTTTCTCCCACAGAGCAGCTGGTGGTTTCAAAGAGCCAAACTTGCGGATCACAGCCCAATGCATAACCACCATGCCATCAGGTCACTGTTGGCCCCAGTCAAAACCGACTGCCGCTGAGTCTACTCCAACTGCCGTCAAGGCCCTGGGCACTGCAGCTAACAACGCCTTAGGCAGCAAACTGAAAAAGGTTAGCGGTCTTGGCTAACTCACTGTGAAATCAAGATCTCCCAATTTTCAAGCCATTGGTTCAGTATGTCCCTTGGCAAATAATGTTAGATCTCAATCATCCCTTATTCCTCACCCCACCCCCAGATAAATGTTGTAGAGTTAAAAAGGAAAAAGTTTGGCGGTTTGAGCAGGGGCGTGGTGCCCCTCCTCACCGCAAATCCAAACTCCTAGGGGCAATCTCTCAATTGCACCCCACCCCCAAATTTCAAGATCCCTTCCCACCCCGCCCCCACCCCCACTTGTCCAGCTGCCTCTATCCGGCGCCTTTCATATTTGTGGTTCCTAAGAATGTCATTCTGGGCCTCTTCAGGGGTCCCCCTTGGACTTGCACCCCCGGAAAGTAGTCGCCTCGCCTCTCCTCTGTGTCTGCAGAGCTTGCAGAAGGCAGCTGGGCCACCCGGGATTAGTAGACACGGCTCATAGCACCCCCTTCAGGTGGTGCCCAGGCATGTGCTGTCCCTTAGGTAACGGCTCCGGGTTTGGCCAAGAGTCAGAATCGACTGCGGACAGCGAGTTTGATTTCGGGTTAGAGGTGACTCCGAAGAAAGGTCTGGACGTCCACTCTGGTCAATCATCCTCTGAAAACGCAGTGCAGCACAGCGATAGGCTGACACACATGCAGTCACAATGAGGTCCAGAGACACTATAAGAGCTATAAATAGGTTTGTAGGTATTTGTTGAACAAAAGACAGCCCTTGTGGATTTTAGATGCCATTGATTCGGTTCCAACGCATGGCGACTAAGCATCACAGAAGGAAACCCTGTGCCATCCTGTGCCATGCCCATACTTCTTGTGATGTTGGAGCCCATTGCTGTAGGCACCATGCCAATCCATCTCATCGAGGGTCTTCCTCCTGTTCGCTGTCCCGCCACATTACCAACCATGAGGTCCTTTGCCAGGGACTGGTCTCTCCTGGCAACATACCCAAAGTATGTGAGACCAAGTAGCACCATTCGCAATTCTAAGGAACTTTCTGACTGTACTTCTTCCAAGACAGATTTGTTGGTTCTTTTAACTGTCCACTGTACTTTCAATATTCACCAGCCCTGTAATTAGAATGCATTGATTCTCTGAGGTCTGCCTAAGTCTATGCCCAACGTTCACATGCATAGCAGGTGATGGAAAAGGTTGCGGCTTGGATGAGGCACATAGGAACCCTGATGGATGATAGTTACATGTTGGCTGCTCACTGCAAGGCCAGCAGTTGGGAACCACCAGCCGCTCCCGGGGAGAAAGGTGGGGCTTTCTACTTCTGGAAAGATTTACAGCCTCAGAAACTCACAGGAGCACTTCTGTCTTGTCCTATAAGGTTGCTGTGAGTCCGTCTCAACTCATGACAGTGAGGAGATCAGGCCCACCCGATCTGTCGAGTATATGCCCAGAAGTGTACTGGGCCATACGAAAGTTCTATTACTGGGTTGTTTGGTTTTTTTTAGGAGCTACCACTCTGTTTTCTACGGGCTTATACTACTAGGATGGCTGAGATTTTTTTTTTTTTACATATGTTGCCATCATCATTTTCTTTTATTCCCCATGTTACAATTTTTGTTTTTATATATATTTTAAATCATTTTATTGGGGGCTCATACAGCTCTTATCACAATCCATCCATCCATCCATTGTGTCAAGCACATTTGTACATTTG